CCGGATCACCAATTTGGCTCCCAACTCTACCAACACAATCGTTCCATGTATGTTTACTTTTTGGAATAGCCTTAGATGCAATATTTTTGTACTCATAACTCGAAAAAATGATTTGAGCCAATCCAAGATGACAATCTTTGCCAATCTTCAATAGATCACGACAACATTCGTTTGTCAACTGACTCGTCGTCACATCCAACAAGTTCTTGAAAATATCATCACGAGCTAGGCTTTTGAAGGCAATTCTGAAGAAAATCGAGCCGTTTGTGAGAGTAGTGATGCGCAAGCTCCATGTCATATGCCATTGCGGGTGAATCGGCTTCGTAAGGAGCTTCATCGGGAGATTCTACGTAAATATCGAAATCCGCAGTAGGAGCTATGTTCACATCTTCTGGTACCTTTTCTGAATATTGATCAATTTCTTGGGAGAAAATTGGACTAGCCGTGTAAAATATTACTATGGATACGAGCATTACTATGAGAAGAGACTTTGCCATATTTGCTTTTGGTTTCGAATGTTAGATTGGTGACAAGAAATGAGAGATGTTATATATAGGGTAATTTATTGATTAAGCGTTTATGTATTCATTAATAATTTTATGTTATAGGCTTCATAAACCTTAGCTTTTAATAGTTTTATTTAAAAGAACGTTTACATTATCAGACTTCGAAGATATTTTTGCAAAATTTAGTTTTTTTTTCTCTTCGTTTTGGATCGAACATGATTTTTGGGTAAACTTGAAGTTAACACTCGCTTTTCCTTCAAATTATTACAAATTAAAAGTGATATATTAGACACACAACACGATTACAGAAAAAAAAGAAAAAAAAGTTCAAAGAAAGGATTGATCCGGTTTGGTCCGGTTTAGTGAGATTTGAACTTAAGCTCTTCCTTTCAAGACATGCCTTCTTAAACCGGGAATGTGAACATTTGTAATGTAGTCCTTCCAGTTTATGCTTCCAACATCAAAACCAAACTCTCTCTTCTCTTCTTCAGACATCTTCTCCATTAATCTCTGAGTATTGCTATTATCAAATCTGCAAAATAAAAAACCCAAAAGAAAAGATGAGAACTTTGCTGGTTCTTGGTCGGTTTGGTCTGATCTTGGACTGAAAATGTTGTTCTTTCTTACCTTCCACCATAGAAAGTGTATGGCTCGTAAATAGTGGCAAGGTGTTTGGCTTGTTCGACAGATTTCTTGCATATAAATTTTATCTTCTGCATCATCTTACTATCGGAAGAGCTCGTACCATTCATCAACCCGCTCCGTTCTTGAGCATCTCTCCATAAATGATCTGAGAAATCATCAACGGAATTGAAGAGTTTCATCAAACGTACCATTATAGGAACACCTTTCGAGTCCACGCAGGGGGAAGATTTGTAGTGGTTATAAAGGAGCTCTGCTAGTTCCTCGAAAACCAGTGGATTTATAGCTGAAGAAGCGATCTGATACACATTTATTTCTGGTTCTGGCTCTGCCATTGCCGTTCCGTGCTTTGCTATAGCAGCTAATGTCGCATTAACGACCATATCAGCAGGAACCACATCAAGAACTCCTTTTGGATCAACCAGAAACCCCGTGAGCTGTCCCTTCCCGTAACAAAGAACTATAGGATCCATCATCCTGGTTTATAGATATCATATAAACACAATTGAAGAAGAATCAGCTTTGTTATGTATACATTCGC